AAGAAATAAAACTGAACCTTTGTCTAACACCATATATAAGAATTAACTCGATCTGGTTAAAAAATCAGAATGTAAAACCTAAAACAGGGGCTGGGGATGTGGCTCAAGTGGTAGTGCGCTCGCCTGGTATGCGTGGGGCGCTGGGTTCGTTTCTCAGCACCACATAAAAATGAAATAAAGATATTATGTCTAGGGCTGGGGATGTGGCTCAAGCGGTAGCGCGCTCGCCTGGCATGCGTGCGGCCCGGGTTCGATCCTCAGCACCACATACAAAGATGTTGTGTCTGCCGAAAACTAAAAAAAATAAATAAATATTAAAATTCTCTCTCTCTCTCTCTCCCTCCCTCCCTCCCTCTCTCTTTAAAAAAAAGATATTATGTCTACCTAAAACTGAAGGACAAATATTTTAATAAATAAATAAATAAAACCTAAAACAATAAAATTCTTAGAAGAAAATATAAGGCCAAAGCTTCATGACATTGGATTGGCAATTTCTTGGATGTAACACCACAGGCAAAAGTAATAAAAGAAAAAATACACAAGTTGGACTTCATGAAAATTTTTAAAAATGTTCATCAAAAGACACTATCAACAAAGTAAAAATGTAACCCACAGAATGGAAGAAAACTGTATGTAAGTCATAACCTGATAAAGGGTTATCATCTAGAATATATAGAGAATTTCTAAAATTGATTAAAACTGGACAAAGGAATTGAATAGACAATTGCCAAAGAAGATACAAAAATGTCCAGGGGCTGGGACTGTAGCTCAGTGGTAGAGCATTTGCCTAGCACAAGCGAAGTCCTGGTTCAAACTCCAGCACCCCATGGGGGAGGGGGGAAAGGCCAGTGGGCATATTAAAAGGTGCTCAACATCACTAGCATTAGGGGAACGCAAATCAAAACTACAATGTCACACCACCTCATACCCATTGGATGGCAGCTACCCAAAAAACAGAAAACAGAACTGGGCACCATGATATACGCCTTAAGTTGTAGTAATCAGGAAGCTGAGGCTGGAAGATCACTTGAACTCAGGAGTTTGAGGCTAGCTTGAACAACAGGAAGACCTATCTCAAAAACAAAATAAAAACAAATGACAAACAAACAAACAAAAACCAGAAAGCAGTAAGCTCTGATGAGGATGTGAAGAATCTGAAATCCTCATGTACTATTGGTAAAAATACAAAATGGTACAGCCAAAGTAGAAAAGAATATGGCAGTTCCTCAAACACTGTAAAAACAGAATTACCGTATTTCTATAAAAATAGAATTACCATATAATCCAGCAATTCCACTTTTAAGCATATACCCAAGAGAACTGAAATCAGTCTCAAAGAAATATCTGTATGCCCATGTTCACAGCAGGATTAGTTATAATAGCTAACATATGGAAACAAGCCCAGTGTTCATTGACGGCAAGTACATTTGGTGTATCCATACAATGGAACATTGTTTAAGAAGTATATTCTACAGCACACTGATCATGGATGAACCTTGAGGACATTATGCTAAGAGAAATAAGCCAATCAGGAAAAAAGGGGACTACTACTGCTGTCTGACTTCACAATGACAGAGACAGAAAGTAGAAACTCACAATCACAGAGACAGAAAGTAGAATGGTGGTTATCAGAGGCTGGAGGAAGGAAATTATTGTTAATGGATAAAGTTTCAGTTTTACAAGATATAAAGAGTTACAGATGGATGGTGGTGACAGTGTCACAAAGTTATAAATGTATTTAATACTACTGAAATGAATACTTCAAGATGGTTAAGATGATACATTTTATGTTATGCATATTTTATTACACACACAAAGGTAAAGGGATAGAGAAAGATATACTATGGAAACATTAATCAAAAAAGTTGGAAGAACTACATTAGTACCAGACAGAGCAGATTTCAGGGCAAGGAAAGTTCAGAGATAAAGAAGGGCATTATTACATAGTGATGCAGGGTTAATTCTCCAAGACACAGTGATCCTAAATGTGAGCCCCTAACTACAAAGCATCAAACTATGTAGGCAAAACTGATAGAACTGCCAGGAGAAACAGATGAATTCCTTGCCACAGCTGGAGTCTTCATACCCTTTATCAAAAGGGGACCAATCCAGGAGGCAGAAAAGGACATGGCTGAATTCAATACTACCATAAATCAACTGAATATAATGGGCATCTACAGAGTACTCTATCTAACAGAATACACGTTCTCAACCTCACAGGGAACATTCACCAAGAGATATCACATTTTGGCCCATAAAACACACTCTTGTAAGTTCAAAAGAGTAGAAATTGGGGGTGGGATGTAGCTTAGCAACAGCGAGTGCTTGCTTATCATACAGAGGGCCCTAGGACCAATCTCCAACACCATAAAAAAAAAGAAAAAAGAGGAAAGAAATCATACAATATATGCTCTTAGACCACAACGGAATTAAAGTAAATAATGGAAAGATAAGTGGGAAATCTTCACATATTTAGAAATTAAATTCCCTAGTACATACAGTTTTTATTTTTTTTTCCTCTAGTATTTCTTACTGTATTTTCTTCTGCAACTACCTTGAACATTTCAACATATAAATTAAATATATTAATGGTATAAAGACATTTGAAAATAGAAATAAGTGTTCCAAGTTTTTTTTTTAAAGAAAATTAATTTTCTGTAGTAGTCGTCATAAACATTTTGGGTACTAAATATTTACCCACAATGGCCAAGTATGAATTAAAAGAATTACAACTCCTGTGCCATCAAGTCTTAAAGGCACTCTCTGTGACTTCACCACAGCAGAACTCACAATCCAAAAATGGATGCAGAAGCAGAGGCAGGCCAGAGCTCCCTCCATATTCGGCACCCACCCACTGCCTCTCAACTGGGTTGGGAACACCACACACACAACAATCCTCCTGATGAAGAGAAGTCTGTGTCCTTCTAACAGCTTGTTCTTTCTCTAGAAGGAGTCTCCAACAATTCCCACGGGCTGTTAACACAATATGTGCAACATCCAAGTAAGTAACAAACTAGTTCTGTAACACCTGGCAGGAGACAATACAAAAGTTTCTACACCAAGTACAATTGAAGTGTCAAGGGCATCTTATGTCTCCAAATAAAAAGGGTCTCCAACTAATGCATCAGTAACAGCAAAAAAAAAAAAAGTAGTTGGAAAAAAAGTCTTCTACAAATATCTAAGCTCCTATGTGGCCACCACTATATATCACTTGACCCCTCTCTATATATTTAGTTTTTCTTTTTAATATTTTTTATTTGTCCATGGACCTTTATTTTATTTATTCATATGCAGTGCTGAGAACCAAACCCAGTGCCTCACACATGCTAGGCAAGTGCTCTACCACTGAGCTACAACTCCAGCCCCTATATTTAATCTTTCTATGCATGAATTTCTCACATTTATCGATGGCACTAAAGTCTAGCATGCGGCAAAAGAACATCAGTACAGCTGATGGTCCTAAAAATTGTTTTTCTTCTGCTTTTACACTTGTGTAGACTACCTATAATTCCCGGAGAAAAGATTAAAGTCAAGGAAAAGAACAGGCTTTTAACTATAGTGTCCCAACAGGCACTGGGAATAATCCATTTCCTTTTTTTTTTTTCCTTTTTCTTTCTTCAAATGGTGATTGAGCCCAGGGCTTTGCATATGCTAGGCCACACAGCCTGGGGAATAATCTATTTCATCACATGACTTGAATATTTTTAGAAACTAATTCTTGAATAGCTTCAACCAGGACAAATATAAGGAACATTCTAAAATCTTAGGACTAGGGAAGGCAAGAAGGACTAGATGGATTCCTAACTGTACACACTCATCCAAAGGAAAATGGAGTGCACATGAAAATAGCCTAGCTTTACCATATACCTGAAAAATGCTCTGAAAAGCATGCTGTGAACAAAGACACCATCAAATGGTCAAAATGAAAACATTCAATCTAACAAAACTTAAGCATGAATTTGGGTAGCTGCTGAGGACTTACAGTAGCAGAACACAACAAACCAATTATCCTCTTTTCTAAGCTTGTGGCATAACTCTCCCACCTGAACTCCTCCTGGCCAACACACACACAAGAAACCTACTGTCATGCTAAACACACCCCACTGTGCAAGTGAACTCTTGGAGGAGAAGCATGCCTGCAGCCTGAGCAGGCCCTTTCATGCCATGTCCTCCTTTTCACTTGTTTACAATCATTGTTTAAAATAATCTATCAGTAGAGTTTTGAGAAGACTATTTTTTTAACTGATTAGAGATAACCTTGAACCAGAATAACTGGTATAAATAAAAACAGAAAACAATCAAAATTATGGCGAGAGTCAACAAAGATAAGTTCAAAACAGCTAGAGGCAAAGCTACCTAAGGCATAAAAAATGAAAACAACTGGGTTGCTGCAAAGTCAAGGACACTAAATATACCCACAGGGTACTTTAAGAAGAAACACATCAACACAATCATTTTCTAGACCTTACTGTGAATGAGCTCCTAGCACACCTCGTTTTTTTGGGTCCCCTGTGCTCTTCAGTTCTCTCTACAACCTTAGGGTGATACGATTTTCTACAACATTGCCCTTGCAGTTCCTCTGTAGGTTGGTGAGTTGTCAGGCTAAGAGGCATACTCACTTAGACCCTGCAGAGCCCACCCAAGGTCAAAGGGACTGTTCAAATGACTTTGCCCATCACAACAAGAATCAGGCTCTGGAGGCCATAAGTAGATAAGCAGACTCATGTGAAGTGCACCAAGTTTAACTGGGTAGCAGCAGCATCTATGTTCTAATTAACTTTGAATGCATAAATCATGACCTTCATGATTGTTTTTAACAATGTGGAGGTTCAAAATTACAACCACTTGAGAGATCATGGTAAAAGCAGGCATTCACAGACCTTCCTATCAAGAGCAGACGCTGTTCTGTACAAGCTGCCAGTTTTATACACTGTTTAAATAAGCAATCCTGCAAGATCTTATAGGTGAGTGAGCTTTCAGGGCCTTCTGGCCCAGCTTACCTTACTGTGTGGGAAAGGGGGTGCTGTATACAAGGTCGGGTGGATGAGAGGGCGAGGCAGGTGTGGAACGGTGTGCAGAGGCACATGTCCATGGATGTGGGGGTACAGATGTAGTGCAGGGGGTGTAGGCTTCTCTGGGCTCAGGAACTGATGGCCAGGAGGAAGGGCTCCGGCAGTCACTGCTGACCCTGTCAGCCCAGAGGCTTCTTGTTTACAAACATGACATTCACAAGTGTTCGGAGCTTGTTCAGCCTAAAAGGAAAGAAACAAAGAACTTGTTTAATGTGAAACAAACAATAATACGAATTAGGGGCTGGGATGTAGCTCAGTGGTAGAGCGCTTGCCTAGCATGTGTGAGGCACTCGGTTTGATCTTCAGCACCACATAAAAATAAAACAAAGGCATTCTGTCCATCTACAACTACAAAAAAAAAAATTAAAAATTAGTATGAATAAGTTAAGGTCAGTCACATTCTGCCAAGCAGTTATGAAGCAAATAAGAAGGCAAGAATGAGGCGTGTCCTGACACTCTTGAGTTGCCCATGCTCCCCACCCTGCGCTTGAGGGGGAAGAAGGAACCCCAGGGACTGGGACTTCAGAAGCGGCGAAGAGGGGAGAGGTGCTCCTCATTTCCAGGTGGTGGTATGCTGAGGTAGCAGCTACCAATCTATGTCCTGTACCTGACTGCAGAGATCAAGGACCTGACAAAGATGTCACTTTGCAAGAGGGAACTGGGAACAAGAACTGAACGCTAGGTGACTCTGCTCCACTGGGTTCCTACTGCTCAATTGGTGGCTGCACAGAAATCTCCACATGGAAGCCAAGGGGCAGGATTCTGGCAAAGGTGGATTGAAGGGCTAACAACTCAGCTTCCTCCTGAGCACAAATGCCAAAGGCAGCCATTCTAAAGCTCTAGAAATGAGCCAAAGCAATATATCGAGAACTGTTTCTTCTTGTAAGATAGCTGCAACTTGAGTGAAGAACAGGAGTCTGGATTTCTTGCCTGGGGCCTTTCCCTCTTTCCACCCCAGCTGCTGAGCAGTAGCCAGAGGTATCATCAGAGCCGCTGCTGGAGAAAACCTGCCCTGCTGCTGAAGAGGGCAACTCCATGACAAGTAGAGGTGAACCAACAGAAGTGGCAGACCCAGTGGGGAATGGGCAGGGAAGTTTATAGCCCTGATAGCTTGGGGCTGGTGTCTTGGGGTGAGTGGCAGATGAGACAAAAACCTATTAGGGAGACTCTAAAAATGAGAGAGCTTGGGAAGGGTCCTCAGGCTGCCCACACTTGCTAGCTAACCAGGAGACCCCAGTATACACACAAGGAAGACTTCAGAGCCCAGAGGAAGGAATTCCACAGGTGACCTGAGAGCTGGCTGGGGTGCAGATCCCCACCTATACACAGATGCTCTGACACACGTTGAGGCTCTGACACACGTTGAGACCCTGGGTGTTAAAGGTCTATAGGTGAACTGTGCCCAAATCATTAGCTGACCCAACAAGCTAGGCAACCAAAGGCAAGACCTTTATCAGACAAGCTAAAAAACGAAAACAGAGTAAAAACATGAGCTGATGCATTAGCTGCTGCATATGGGGGAAACCGATTCTGCAACGTAAGTCTAGGTAAGCACTAAAACATACAGAAGCAAAAACCTCACTGAACAGTCACTTAAAGGGAAAGTCAGAGTTGTTACATTTTTAAAAGACCAGTTTTCAACCAAAAAGTATGAGACATGCAAAGAAAAAGAAAAGTGTGAGCCACACTTTTGCAGGAAAAGGACAGCGAATCACTAGAAATTGGTTCTCCTGAGTAGCTCTACATAATGGATTAGCAGAAAAAGATGCAAAACTGCAGCTACAACATGTTTAGAGATGTAAGGCAAGTAGGAGAACAGAGATCAAACATACAGGGGATTATAATATAGTAACTCTAAAGAAAATGAAATATGAATTCTAAAAGCAGGTTTAAGACAGCAGAGTGGGCTGGGGATGTACCTTAGTTGGTAGAGTGCTTGCCTCACATGCACAAGGCCCTGGGTTCAATCCCCAGCACCCCCCCCCCCACACACACACATACAGCGGAGAAAGAATCTGTGAACTCCAATTAGGGGAACAGAAATTATCCATATGAAGACAAGCAGAAACTAGAGTAAAGAAGGGCTGGGGTTGTGGCTCAGTGGTTTGCCTAGTATGTGTGAGGCACTGGGTTAGATTCTCAGAACCGCATATAAATAAAAAATAAAGGTCCACTAACAACTAAAAAAATATTAAAAAAGAAAACAAAGAGAGAGTGTGTAAAGGAAAATATAGACAGAAATCTTCGGGGAGAGCAGCAAACACACCGGCATGTATGCAAAGAAGTCCCAGGGACAGGAGCGGGAAGGGTCTCTGAGAGGAAAACTTAAAAGAAACAATGTCTGAAACTCTTACTTTTCAAATGGGATGAAAACCATTAATCTACAGATCAAGGAAGCTGAACATGGATTAAAATAGATGTACATAACCACCTTGGAAGCTTCTGCAGTCCCGTCTCCATAAAGAAGCTCAGGCCTGTGTGGAGGACTGACTGTCCAGCAGCTACACCACTCTGTGTGGGATTCTGATGGTGGGGGAGGATGTGAGGTGCAGGCAAGGGGCGTAGAGTTTTCTGCACCTTCTATTGAACTTTGCTGTCAACTTAAAACTATTCTAAAAAATAAGAAGAAAAGACAGACATTTATATGTAAAAACTGAGAAAATTCAGTGCTAGCAAACTGGTCCTACATGAAATACTAAAGGATGTATTTCAGCTGAAATTGTAGTGGCACCCTCTCCTTAACAAAAAATCTTAACTAAGCTTCTCAAGAAATTTTCACCATAATTGATTTTAAGACTATAAGCAAAAGAGTCTCTACAAAAAGTTCAATGTAGTTAAACTTTCTATTTTCCTGTTGCTCTATTTTACTTGGCCACTGGCCAGAAAGAAATCAGCACTCCAGGTGCTCAATGCCCTTTCACTTGTTTTTCACAAACATGTTTCCAGTATAATAATTTGTAAAAGTATGTTTGCAAATGCAAAATGTGATAAAAAAGATAAATCCTTTAACAAGGCCTCTGGCCTTGAGCTGGAGTTTCATAGAGATGTCTACATTTCTATGGAGAAGTTACCTATTGGGCTCCATGGTAACAGCTGGCAGGGGAGGGAAAAAAGGGGAGAAGAAGCTCCCCCCTTTTCAAGAGCTGTACTTGAAGGGTTAACTTGCCCAGAACAGTGAAAGAAAAAGCTGCTTTTATGTGAACTTCTGCAGACTGTGAACTTCTGAGCCCCTTCCCTTACATGCTGGGTATAAAATTCTGAAACTACCTGAACTCGAGATTCAGGGGATTGATTGATTACAGCAAAAGCTTTGCCCTCTGAACCTGGTTGCAGCCAAATAAAACTGTTTCCTGCTATCTTCGGTGCATTGCCTCGTCTGTCCCTACAACAAAATGAAATAATACAAATCCCCACACACAAAAAAGAATAAAAAAATAAAAAAAAAAAAGAATGCCAGAAGAGGTAAGCAAGCTGGCAAATGGAAAATATCACATGTTATCTTTTGTCTTTGCTTATAATTTCTCTAAAATTATGAAATTTAAAAAAGCAATAATTTTAATATGCTGGGTTTATAACATATAAATATAATACACAGAATAATAATTTGAAGGAGGAAGAAGAAAATAGAGCTGTATTAGAGCAATGTTTATCTATGTTACTGGAATTAAATCAATATTAACCTGGAGTAGATTGTAATAAATTAAGATGCATATTGTAATGCTTAAAGCAGCAACTTGAAAATGACTAAAAAAAAAAAAAAAAATCATTAAAGAATTAATGGCAGGACTAGGGCTAGAGCTCAGTGGTAGAGTACCTGTCTAGCACATGTGAAGCACTGTGTTCAATCCTTAGCACACATAGAAAAATAAATAAAGGTATTATGTCCATCTACAACTTAAAAACAAAACAAAACAAAACAGAATTAATGTCAGAAGCCAGGTATGGTGGCACAGCCATGTTAATCCTGGCAACTTGGGAGACTAAGACAGGAAGATTACAAATTCAAGGCCAGCCTGGGCAGCTTGCAAAAGCCTGTCTCAAAATAAAAAATAAAAAGAGCTGAGGATATAGCTCAGTGGTAGAGTGCTCCTCGGTTCAATTCCCCAGTACCATTAAAAAAAAAAAAAAAAATAGTGACAATTAAATGGTATTAATGGTCACTAAAAATTTTGTTTAATGTTTGAAAAGGCAGAGGTTGATAGAAGAATAAAAATGCAAGGTCCAACAAGAAGATCTGAAAGCAAATTTAGATTTGAAGACACAAAGAAGCTGAAAAATATAAGGAAAAAAAGTATAATGTACATACAATAACCCAAGAAGCTAAACTGGCTTCATTGATATCAGATATAACGTACTTTAAAGTAAGAAGTTATCAGTAGAGAAATATCTCATCATGACAAAGGGGTCAATGTACTAGGGAGTTACAATGACATGTACACACATTCAACATCATTCCCAAATGTAGAAATCAAAAGTTGGCAAAAGTCTTTAGTATGATTCCCTCAGAAACGGGAAGAACTAGAGAGAAATCAGTGAGGAATCACATCCTATCTGCACACCCATGTCCCTCCAGAATCCACGGGGAACTAATCTCTAAGGGTGGCTCTCAGGAGTCAGGTTAGTGCATCTCTTCCAGAGGCCCTGGCTGCTTGGCCCCCAACCCCCACCTGCCGATTATACCAAGATTGCTATCTGTGAGAAAGCAGGTCTGCCACGCTAGAGAGCGAACCCTACTATAACTCCAAACTCACCTTAAGCAACTGTCATGTGTGGTACACATGTAAGGACAAACAGAGACCAAATGAAGAGAATGAATTTTAAACCCTTGCATTTACGGCCCATCAATTTTCAACAAATCATCAAAGCGCTTCTGCAGGGGCAAGGCCAGTCTGACAGAGAGCACTGGATAATTGGATGTCCATATACTTAAAAACACAGATGCAGACTTTAACCTTACAGCATAAGCAAACTCTTAGTCAAATGAATCACAGCATCTAAATAAGTTATAAATCTTCTAGAAGAAAACAGTTTTGTGTTAGGCCAAGTTTTCTTAGAGAATGTATCAAAGGGATGGTTCTGAAAATAAAAAAACTAATAAATTGGAATGAATTAAACCCAAAGCTTCTGCTTTACAAAAGACACTATTAAAACTGGGTTGGGGTTGCGGCTCAGGGGCAGAACGCTTGCCTATCACGTGCGAGGCCCTGGGTTCGATCCTCAGCATCACATAAAAATAAAATAAAGGTATTGTGTCCAGCTAAAAATAAACACAACAATAATAAATATTTAAAAAAAAAAAAAACACAAAATAAAGAGACACATTATAGACCATGAGGAAACAGTGCAAATCATACATCTGATGAAGGATATATATCCAATATATAAAGAAATCTTATAACTCAGTAATAGGACAGAAAAGGAAACAAATAGCCCTTAAATATAGGAAAGGAGGTTTACCTATTAAAGGGAAGTGAAAACTGAAACCCCACGGGTTACCATTTCCATATATCAGACTGGCAACAATCCAACAAAACTGTGGGGCCACTCTTTTTTGGAGTCTGGGTGGTCACCGTGGCCTTACCCAACCCCACTCACTGATGTTCTTACCCACAGTTCACTGCTGGACTAGTCCTAGAGCTGTATCTGCTTACGTACACAATGTCAGATGTACAAGGTTACTCACTGAATAGTTTGCAATGGTCAAAGAGGGGATGAACAGCACAAGTGCCCATCAACAGAGAACTAAAAAGGAAAAACAGAAACTACAGCATGTTCACATTATGAAAAAGAGTGAGGCCAGCAGAAGGGAATGAGAAAGTACGCTCTGCAGAGACATAATCTGTCAGGATGCACTGTCAGGCAAACAGGTTCAGAACTTTAACTGTGTGTGTGTGTTATTAGACAGCCTTTCTCACAAAAAAGGGGAAGAATAAATATTGTACATGCACATAATAAACAGATAAAACCGATCATCTACTGGGACTAGGGACTTGGTATGCAAATATGAAAGGATGGGTGGGGAAGAAGGTAAGGGCCAGATTTCTTAATGTATATACCTTTAACATTGTCTTTTATTTGAATTATATATATTTATATCACCTATCAAAATGAATTTATTAGGCTAAGCACAGTGGTGCACACTTGTAATCTCAGTGTCTCAGGAGGTTAAGGCAGGAGAATTTCAAGTTCCAAGTCAGCCTGGTAAACTCACTGAGACTCTAAGCAACTTGGTGAGGCCCCATCTCAAAAAAAGGACTGGGGGGCTGGGGTTGTAGCTCACTGGTAGAGCGCTTGCCTGGCACATGTGAGACCCTGGGTTCGCTCCCCAGCACCACATAAAAATAAATAAAAATAAAGAAATTGTGTCTATCTACAACTTAAAAAAAAAAATAGCCTCTGCTTGCTTCTATATAGGAAAAAAAAAAAAAAGGAAACGAACATGAAGCATTACAAAATGAAGAAGATGATTAGATTCAAGCAAAGGAAACAAAATTAAAATAGGAATTGGGGGCTGGGGTCGTGGCTCAGGGGTAGAGTGCTTGCCTAGCACGTGTGGGGCCCTGGGTTCGATCCTCAGCACCACATAAGAATGAAATAAAGATAATGTGTCCAACTACAACTAAAAAATAATAAATATTTTTTAAAAAGATTTTTAAAAATTATGAATTGTCTGTTTTACAAGTGTGTCTTGATTCTCTCTGATTCTGAGCAACAGAAATAACTTGAAATGGAATACTTTCACAGTTAATAATGCCCATGTTTGGGAAAAATATATACTGAGAGACTCATGACAAAAAGAAAATCTGAAACATGAAACCCTACCTGCTGGGCTGGGTAAGAAGGGGGTGGAGTGTCCACTTTACTTTCCTCTGTCCTGGGGCTCCCGTTTCCCAGGGCCCCATCTTCCTTTGGAGCTCCTGGGGGCTCCCCACTGCTTTCACCATCCACTTCTTCATCGTCAGCTTCTGAAGAGCTACTACTGGTGCTGCTCACCTGTGGGGACTTAAAACGCAGCCTTTTGTAACTTACACTTTTCAAAGTAGAATAATGCAAAAATTAAACTTAGGCCACCATATTATGCCACCTATTGTGGCTACAAGTAACCATGCTCATACCTCATCTTTCAGGGCCATGTTTTCCCCACCACCATTCAGTTCGCTGTGGATCCCATTCATGTTGGCCACCACCTCGGTATCGTCGTAGTTACTCAATGGATAAATATCAGCAAACTTGGCTGACAATGGTGCAACGTCCTCATCATCACTACAACTGAGACAACAGACAAGGTCAAAGGCGGCTACTGTACTGCAGAGGAGGATAAGGAGCCACCTGCTGTGCACAGAAGCCTTCTTTAGATCACTGCTTGTGTTCAGAGTCCTGTAAAGCATCACTCATTACCAATACCTCCTGGTCACCTGAATATGAGAGGAGAGACCTAGAAGATCAGCATTTTTACTACCTGGAAGAATGGAAAGGGAAAACCTCCAAAGGCAGAAATATTAAGGAAATCACAAACATTTAATCAGACTAATGGATATTACATTTATTATGTGACTTGAGATGCCCTGCTACAAAACTATTCCTTCTACCACTCCCAAGCCCAGACACAATTGTTTTATTTAAAATTAAAGGGGTACATTCAGATGCAGTGGTGTATACCTATAATCCCACCTACTTGGGAGGCTGACGTTGGAGGATTTTAAGATCAGGGCCAACACAAGACAACTTAGAACCTGCCTCAAAATAAAACATAGAAAAGGGCTTGGGGGGGTGGGCAGTGCTGGGGTTGTGGCTCAGTGGTAGAGCACTCGCCTAGCACGTGCGAGGTGCTGGGTAGATCCTCAGCACCACATAAAAATAAATAAATAAAAATAAAGGTATTGTGTCCAACTACAATTAAAAAACAAAAGAAAAAAGAAGAAAAAAAAAAGAAAAAAGGAAAGGGCTGGGGGTATAACTCAGTGGTAAAGCACCTCTGAGTTCACCAGTACCACCAAGGGGAAGAGAGAGAGAGAGAGAGAGAGAGAGAGAGAGAGAGAGAGAGAAATGGGGGGAAGGGGGAGGGGGAGGGAGGGAGAGGGAGAGAGAGAGAGGCATGCACACGCACACACAGAGGGAGGAAGGAAGGAAAGAAGGAAGAAAAAGAATTATTTGGGGCTTGAGAACGAGTCCATACTGAGAACTGAAAGACTCTAAAGGAAAGGTTTCTCATTTATTATGTGACTTGAGATGCCCTTCTCAGTTTCCTTGAGAAATCCAGAGAGAGGAGATAAAGGTATGACCCGAGTCAGAGAAATCTGAGGAAGGCTGAACAGCCGGGGTCAGGGGCAATAATCCCTGGCACTGGAATCTCTGCAGGGCTCACGATGGCTGCATGCTCTATGATGCACATGCAATGGAAGTCTAGGTCTACTCAAGTAATTACCTCCCTTCCATAAGCCCTCACAAATGACAGTGTCACAACTCTGAAGGAATCTGGGACCAGCCAACCACAAAGTGAACAGGCAAGAGCAGCAGGGCAGCCTCGCCAGTATGAAAGGAACACCTAGTTATGTGGGAACACAGAAGACAAACTTTCCATCGCTTGCTAACGCGATCATTTGAACCCTTAGCAAGACATGAGGCAAGCATGAACACTGGGCTGACAATGAGGCGAGTGAACGGCAGCTGACCGCCCTCCAGGAGCACAAGGAGAAGGGGCCAGAGCCAAGGAGACACTTCCCTGCATACCAACATGTTTTTCATGTTTTTTACTGTACTGGCACTTGTTAATTTAACATTTTTTTCAGGTGATGAAATAAGTGTCAAACTTTGAATTGACTGATTTCATGTTTTAAAAGTTGCTTAAAATAATGCAAGGTCTTTTTCATGAAAAGCATTATGATGATGTTCATACTTCTGTAGACATCACTGTTTCTTGCGACTGAATACTTAAAATTTCTGAATCTTTATTACACAGTTACAACTTACAAAGTTGGTGCAGAGCCATTGTCTGTGAGGATGAGTCTGGGATGTTGCTGAACTGTGATGGGAGAGCTGGAGCCTGACCCTGAGCTTGCTGAGGACACGCTAGGTGGGCGCATCTCAGAGAGATAGTCGGGAGCAGAATCCACTTGGAGTGGTAGCTGGTGAATGTGGATGTCATCAGTGACGGGGGTGTCCATGATACCACAAGTGAGGATGTGTGAGAGGCTGCAGTCATCACAAGCACATCTGATCGGGAATTAAGGACAGTTACCAAGAGAGCCAACACAGAAGGTCATCATGTTCTCTGAAGGTCGGTTCCAGACCTCCACCTGGTTCAAGGAGGGCTGCAGGCTGCTGCACCCATGACAGCCCAGCTCACCTTCTCCTGTAGTTGCAGTTGGGGCAGTCAGGCATGCTCAGTCGTGATGACAACATGTGCCTCATGGTATCTGTGAAGTTGTTCTCGCCAGTAACCGCTTTCTTATTGGTTAACTAGAGGAAATTATCAAACAATTGCTTAATTTCACAGAAACCTTTCTCCATTTCATGGATCACATTTTCTAGTAATTATGATAATATGTAGAAATCAATTTGGTCAGCTTCCTCAGGTGGGCAGGACCAGGATACAGGAGCGGCAGACCTGGAGCTGAGCTGCTCAAGGGCCCAGGTACCAAGAACCTCCTAAATATTTTGGTCTTCAGCAAGCACACTGTCACATGCCCTCATAACAGACGTCCAGAAGGCAGGCTACTGCAGATACCCAACCTTTACCCTCTATCTGTCAAGTACTCTGTATCTTCTGGCAACCAGGAAGGCAGCCATAGAAAGAGAGACTGGTATGTGGTGTTGGAGGAAGAGGCTTGGACCTGGAAGCTTCCTTCCAATTGAATAGGAAGCATCTGAGTATCAAAGGAGAAGGAGTTCTGGACCAGCTTTGGCAAATGGACAGGTGATGACTGGAAGGCCATTTAATACACAGAATAGGGGGCAGCGGGCAGGGAACTAAAGGAAAGGCCAAGGGCATTAAGCTCATAAAGGAGACTAAGAAAACAGTCCAGGAAGTAGGAATAGTTGGTGTGGCCATATGAATGAGATTAGGGCAAGAAGTTCCAAAAGCAGAGGGATCCGAGGCCAATCACAGGAAGGTCAATTGCAAGCTCTCCAAAGACCTCATCAGCAGAGGGTGCAGGGCAAGCCTGCTAGAGGAGGCTCCACCAGGGTGAGGAGGAAGGGGGCAGACTACAGATGGTCTGGCTCCTGGCATTGCGGGGGAAAGCTGGGCTGAATCCCTGTGATTTCAGAAATGGCCTTAGCCTGCAGCATGTCACCCCTTCATGTGTGATCTGGAGATAGCAACACCTGCCTCACAGGTACGCATGGGGACTCAGGGCAATGTCATCTGTAAAATTCCTAGGGCCGCTGTGTACCAACATCAGTCACTCGATGAGCACTGGCTTTCCTTAAAGAGTAATCAGAATGTAGGAAATAGGCAAATAAAATCGGTTTACCTTGAGGCTAAAACCACTGTTTAACACTGGCAGATGTTGCCCATGTGGTCCTCAAATGGTGTCCTGTTGCAACAGAGCAGCTAATGTGCAAAATGCCACTCACTCTACAAAGAGGATTTCCTACTTCCTTTAATTGCCTCTCATATGGACAAACTTACCTGTTCTTCAATGAATCGCCTTTGTTTAAATATCTCCCAGTCTTCCGTTAACATGCGCTGTTTGGTTTTCATTGTCATCTAGAAAGCAGATGTTAAAAAAACAAAACAAACAAACAAACAAAAAACCTTGGTACCAGCAGCAATTACACAGGGTATTTTCAAGGGAAGATTTTTTTTCAAATGATATATACAAGATGTAAAGAAAACAGATACAATACTACAAATATATTATCAGGCAGCCCATTTCAGCATCTTACTCAACTTAATCAAAATCGCCACAAGTGCTTTTGTGTGTGTGTGTGTGTGGTGCTGGGGACTAAATCAGGGCCTTGTGTATACAAGGCAAGCACTCTACCAACTGAGCTATATCCCCAGTCCCACAAGTGCTCTTTTTACAAGAGGCACAGTTCCCCAGAGCCTCCCACTGCAGAGGGCAGACCATTTCCTACCTGAAAGGAGAAGTGCTCTCTCCCTGAGCCTGCCTAGGTGTAAGCACACATGGTGGATATGAGAACCACAGCACTCCTGAGCTGGCCCACTCCATCACTCCCATGAATTCCCCAGCCTGGAGACAAGTACTCAAGACTCTTCATCTAAACAATGTGTATAACTTTCTACACAAAAATCAATAAGTAAAATGCAATGTGATTCAAGAAGAAGAAAACCTGAAATAGACTAATAGTAGATCTATACTTGTTCTTCCGCTCTGCAAACATGAATCAGGCCCCAAAGTTTTATGTTCTATCACATCCTTCATGGAATAGAAAATTTAAACTATTCCTGCAAACTGAAAAAATACAGTTTCTCAAATTTCATAAAGCTATCATGATCTTCTCACAAAACAGACAAGTGTCAAAAACTAAAACTCAATTCCATAACACCTCAGAATATAAATAAAAAGTCCTAAATAAAACATCAGCAAGTTAAGTCTAACAGTGAAGAATATCATGATCTAATAAGGATTAATCTCAAGGATGCCAAGAATGCCTCAAAATTAGGAAACCTAATCTCTTAAAATTCATACAAAAATAGGAAAACTATAAAATCAAATTTGACATGTATTACTCTTTTTCTTTTAAAATAACCCAAGTAAATAAAGTGAACTTCTTGAATTTGCTAGTAAGTGCCAAAAAAGTCTGAATGGCAAACAGTGCTTCATCGTGAGACATTCAAAACCCCCACACAAGGACTGGCCAAGGGTGCCTCTGCCAGTATACTCACTCACCCTGCTCTGAAGGTTCTAATAGAAGCCAAAAAAAAAGTTCAAATGCAAGAAAGAATGAGACAGAACTATCATTATTTGAAGATGATATCATGATCTCCCAGAAAATTCAAAGCAACTGACTCAAAAACTACTGAAGCTACTGAGGGACTTTGGTAAGACGAACGGTACCCCTAACTCTGCCTTCCTGTTTATCACCAAGAACACATTAGAAAGCATACTCACAAAACAGGACCCAAAACTAAGAAACTCCATGGCATAAACTTGGTAAGAAATGCACAGACTATGCAGGATAGAAAAAAAGACCTAAAAATAAGGAGAGATCAGATTCTTAGATGGAAGGATTTAATATCAAGGGCCAACCCTTCCTTTTCAACATATATGCCTGCAGTTTAAAAAAAAAAGGCATTAAAAAACAAAAATCTTTATTTTGTTTATTTCGTTTTTTATGTGGTGCTAGGGATCAAACCCAGTGGCTCACATATGCTAGGTAAGCGCTCTACCACTGAGCCACAACCCCATCCCAGAAAGGCATTTTTCTTGGAGATATTACTATTGCAAGTTTGAAAAATTATATTAGAAAGCTAAAAATTAGGAAAGGTGATCATATGTATACATATTTTATTCATTCTTTTTAGATATACATGACAGTAGAGTGTTTTTTGACATTACACATACTTGGAGTACAACTTATTCTAGTTAGGATCCCACTCTTGTGGCTGTATATGATGTGGAGTTTCACTGGTGATGTATTCATATATAAAGATAGGAAAGTATGTAATTAGTTCAGAATTCAAGAGTTATTTGGCACACAGAAGAGTCTGCTTCATGAGACTTCTGTTTAGACTGGAGTTTGCTATGCTTGTAGTAGATCAGGAGCCAAGAGGTAAGATGGGGCTGGGACAGGGAGGTCACTGGGGGTCTCCATTTGCCACTCCATTTTATTGGTAAACAACATCAATAAAAACCCACTCTTTGGTCCTCTCCTCACATTCTCTAGGTCAAAATTAGTTGGGGGAAAAACTTGGGTAACTGCAGTGTTATGTATATATGTATCAAACAAAGAAAACATAATTTTAAAAAGCAAAATAATATTTCAAAGCTGTCAATTGCCCCTTGCATTCTGTTTCTTTGTGAATAAAGACTCAATTATTTTACAAGTGCTCTACATTTTGAAATCTTTGGATTAGCATAAAATTTCTAAAATGCTTACTGATGAGAAGTAACTAATCTCCATTTCATAGGCTTTAAATTAAATGACAGATTTAAATGGTTCCATAGGGGACTGCAGTAACACAGTCACGAGATAGGACACCTGGGGCCATCGTGAGGGGGAAGGGCAGGAAAGATTTCCCCATCCCTGCAACCATCAGCATTCAGAAGAAAACATGACTCTGATGATACCCTGATTTTGAACTTCTGGGTCTGGGCTTCCAGAACTATGACAAAATACATTTCTATTATTTTAAGTCACCTCCCTCATTCTGCAATGACTCCATGGATGCTACTAAAAGTGGCTCAATTTCTCAAATTTGTATTATAACGTCTTGATTTCTCATGGTTTTTGGTAGAGAGTGAAAAACAGGAATGTATCTTCTGGCTGCTTTAGTGGAGACAATGTTCTTTCTTTGTAAAAAAGATAGGACAGAGGGGAATGGTGGCATACAACTGTAATCCTAGTGGCTCAGGAGGCTGAGGCAGGAGGATCACAAGTTCAAAGCCAGTCTCAGCAACTTAGCGAGACCCTGGCTCAAAATAAAAAATAAAGGACTGGGAATGTGGCTCAAGCCGTAGCGCGCTTGCCTGGCATGCGTGCAGCCCAGGTTCGATCCTCAGCACCACATACGAAAACAAAGATGTTGTGTCTGCCGAAAACTAGAAAAAAATAAATATTAAAATTCTCTCTCTCTCTCTCTAAAAATAAATAAATAAATAAATAAAATAAAATAAAAAGGGCTGGAGATGTGGCTCAATGGTTAAGCACCCCTGGGCTCAATCCTTGGTACAAAAAAAAAGACAGAATTTTAAAGAAATAAATCCAATATCAGCTTTACTTTTTTCTTTTCTTTTTTTAGTTTTTTTGGTGGACACAAGATCTTTTATTTTACATTTATGTGGTGCTGAGGATTGAACCCAGTGTCCCGTGCATGCTAGGCCAGCACTCTACCACTGAGCCACAACCCCAGCCCCATCAGCTTTACTTTTTAAGTGATACTGTATTTTTCTCCCAAGAGAAAGCATTGCTATTTTTACATACATTTCCATTTTCACTAGAACAGCAATGATAGCAATGTATATTATGTTAGTGAATGAAACCAATTGCAGGCAACAAACAATTCTAGGAATTATTACTCTTAAAGTATTCTTCAGTCATAGCAAAAAAGAAACTTCCCCCTTCCTGAGAGTTACCCTGGGTCTTTTTCCTGTTCAGGCCTGGTCCAACAGGAGAAATAAGTCTACCACACCCATCCAATGTATACCAGGGGACAGGATGTGGACCATTCTGCCTGGAGCCCTAAGCCTGCCTGGCTGGGCCCTTGGGGAGCCTCCTGCCACCCACAGCTGTGGTAACTATGTCTAGAGCCCAAGAGCAGTGGAGGTGTGATCCACACAGAGCCTGGCACCACGTTCTTCTCTAATCTGAATTACTATTTAATTATTCCATTTTCTGAAATCACCTAATGGTTATTTACCACTGCATAAGCTTATATAGATATAACATGAGGGAAACCAACTCTACTGAATAGCAGGAAAAATGTCAAATGTGTGGAGAGAGGGAGGCAGCAGTCCCACTCAGAGAAGCTCCCAGACTCCGGAGTCTTGAGAAGCCAGCCTCCCCATTTCTATACCAGGATAGGCACTGCCCACATACCTGGGGGTCTCCATTTGCCACTCAAGCCTAGCAGACAGTGCCTCCCCAGAAAGTGTTCTGCAAAGCCCTGATGAGCACTGAGCAGCAGGCACAGAGATTACCATCCCCACTGTCAGGAATATGTGTGTTCCTTGATTTACATCTCAGAATGGAGGGGACCTGAAGGTCTTCTAGTCCAACCAGGCCTGAAATCTCTGCCAACTCACTTCTGCACATTCCCTACCCCAAGAATCATAGCATCTCCATACCAGAGTGCAGGGCAGAGATGAAACAGCTTCTCAGTTACTGCAATGACTATTACAGCACTGAAATGGGCCCTGAGACATTTATCTCCAGGCCAACAGCAATTGCCAGCTGGTACCATCTGGGCGCGCTTTGGCAGCTGCCCTGCAGTGAGCTAACTGTCTACATGTAGAAGGCTCCAAAGGTGCTGCATGTGGCCTGCTGTAGTCACAGTATCCACAGCAACATGCCTCCCTTTTACCCCAATACATGAACCTTGTCAAAGATAAAATGAGGACACTGCAGGCCATGGTCCTTGGAAAAGACAAGAGAGGTCCTGAGTTTATTTCATAACATCAACGCACTGGAGGGTTCCTTGACCTCACACAGTATGTCTTTCCTATAACTGAAGCTGTCAGGACAGAGACTTGGTAGGTAATATTATTTCATAATTTCACTTCCTGAGAGACCTATGGATTCAGGGCCCTTCCATGCACCTCTCACAAGTAGCTCCTCTGGTAGCCTTGAGGCCCTTGTCATCCGCAGTGGCCCTTCCCTGGGTCCAGGAGCCCCAGTGCTCCTGTCTCCGTTACCAGCTGCAATAGCCCTGCTTCCTGCACCTCACTCCCTCTCTCCAGCTCCTCATCAGTTTCCTTCCACCATTCCCTTGAGCCCCAATGATAAGATCTACCCATAGTTTGAATCTTAGATGTTCCGTAAACATTCATCTGTTAAAGGCTTGTTTGCCAGCCTGTAGCACCAGTGGAAGGTGACAAAACCTTGAGGAGGTGGGGGCTAATGGGAGAAGTTAGATCATAGGGGTACATTCTCCTCGAAGGGGATACTGGGACCACAGCTCCTTCTCTTCTCTCTTTGCTTCCTGGCTGCCATGACTGTGCCTCTGCAGGCTCAAAGCAACAGGGTCAACCGACCATAAACTCCACCCTCTGAAACCATGAGCCACAAACTTTTCATCCTTATGAGTTAATTATTCCAAGCACTTTGTCATAATAACAGAAAGCTGACTCAAATCTAGACTCCCCCCCCCACCCGGTTTTCCTTTATAGAATACTGATGATCTGACACCCCAGTAAACCAGAGTTTCACTGCTTCTCTCTTACCTTGTTACCTTCCACAAACTACTATGTACAGCTATCCTGGGGTATTCTCTGTAGGTGACCCTTAAGCAGCTTATCACAATGCAATTCACTACACAAGGGACTACTTCTTACAGTTTTGTTTTTTTTTTTCCCCCAAAACAAAGCAAGATCCCAGAAGCTCCAGAGACTAAGGAAGGAAGATTGGGAGTTCAAAGCCAGCTCAGCAAAAGTGAGGGCACTAAACAACTCATTGAGACCCTGTCTCTAAATAAAATACAAAATAAGACAGGGGATGTGGCTCAGTGGTCAAGTGCCCCTGAGTTCAATCCCCAATACCCACTTCCCCCCACAAAAAAAAAGCACAAAAAATTTATTTGGAATTAATGGAACACAAAACTGAAGGGAAACAATTTAAGCAGAGCTCATGAGGCAGATCCAGAATTGTAGCCTGCTGTCAATTTTCATGGTCCTGCACAGAACCCATGTCAAGTAGATCCCCCAAGGAACAGTGACCTCTGTGTAAGGATCCCTCTGCACTGCCACAGCTCAAGAGCCTGCTACAGCTGACCTCCCTGTCCCAGCCCCATTTTACCTCCTGGCTCCTGATCTATTACAAGCCACAGCAAACTCCAGTCTAAACAGAAGTCTCATGAAGCAGACTCTTCTGTGTGCCGACAGCAGAGGGGAAAGCAGTTAGCTTTCCATATCCTCTCTGCTGTTCCTTTCATGTGAATAGCTGCTGGCTACCTGAATGCTCAGGCCTGGTGGCTGAGGCTGCAGAGAGAATGCTGCAGCTCTACTCATGATCTGCTTGTCTGGCCCTCCTCACCCAGGCAAGCCACAGGCAGAGCTTCATGACTACCTGACCTGCTCCAGCATCAGCCCAACTGACACTGTTGAAGTGGCTTGGGAACAGCCCTGCTCCAACAGCAGCCTGAAGTAAGACAACACTGCTCAGTGACAAGGCACAGCTAGAGAGCAAGTCTTTGATTGCACAACCAGACAAAAACATGATTCAGGGTCACATCCATGCTGAAGAAAACTCAAAGCAACAATGGTTCTCCCAAATTCTGCCAGTGACCACAGGACAATAGGGAGAAAGCTGTAGGAGCTGATTAGTCCCACTGCACTGCCTCTCTATTGTGCATGCAGTGCTCAGGGTGAAGCCCACTGCAGTGATGAAGGTGAAGGGCAGAACAACAATGAGCAAGAGACTAAGCAATGGCAGTAAGGCAACTGCCACATAAAGCAAGGCCTGAGCTCCCCAAACAGTGAGATGGCTTACAAGAGAAGTGAGCACATACCAGTGCCGTCCTCCTTCCTTATGGCTGCTTAATGCTCAGATAGGGACAAAAGCTAACAAAGGGCTTGGTCAGCTTCTAAGTGGCACTAACAATCCTGGGATAGACTTAGAACCAGTACACACCTGAATCCAGAACCACAGCTCTATTTTTGCACAAATAGTCTGAAAAGCATAATACAGAGCTCTGTCGTTTTTCCTTTTTACTCCTCCATACCAATGACATTTAAAATAAGACCACTTTGACTTCCTTGCCTGATTCTACTAGAGGTTCTTGAAAGTTAGGAGGCCGGGGTTGGACAGGAGGGGATAACATCTCAAAGACTTGCTCAGAGTCTGTCCCCTCCTGAGGGGCTCTGGCCACATAGTGCAATGTCCCTGCACGTCCATCTCCAGCAGGCATGGCCTGCGCCTCCCAGCTCTCCTCCAGCTTCCTTAACACTTTCATGTGTGTCTGTGCTCCCTTTCTGGATGGTTCAGGATGAATGAAGAGTAGGCTCTGAATACCACAGTGTTCAGTAAAGGCTTCTGGAATTACAAGGTCTGGTGGCTTCCTAAAGTCCCCAAGATTCCTGCATGAGCACAGACTATGCAAGGGATGGTGTACACACCCTGGCTGAGGTGGACCTGACCAACTGCCACCACCACATCACCAGTACAGCTCTGCTAGGAAAACTATCTGCTGCAGTGAGGTGTCCAGGGCCTCTGCCAGGAAGCCCTGCTCCTCCACTGTAGAGAGCCCCCTGGCACACACCCTGTCAATGCACAGGCTGTGCCTCTGGCACAGTGCTCACCTGCTCGTCCACATAGGCATCAATCCTCTTCTGGCACTCCAGCCACTGCTCCGCGACTCTGCGCAGCTCCTCCTCAGAGCGCTGGAACCTCTGCAGCAAGGTGCTATATGTGTCTTCATTGCAGGTGTCATGTGTGGTGGTCCCCAGCCTAGGAGGGAGGAGGCCTTGTGACAAGAGAGCCTCAAGACTCCAGCTGGGAAGCAGAGGTATACCTGCCATGACAGTCTACCTGGGTCGTCTCAAAAACACAGTAATGCCACTACATACCACAGCAGGGCTGCAGTGAGGGCCCAATAGGTCACAGATGCAAGGTACCCAATAAAACCTCACATAAAGGAGATACTCAAAGAAAGAAGAGTTCCTAAGAAAAGGAATTAGTAGGGAATAATGCCATCCCCAAAAGACCACGGCTATGGTTCAGTTTGCTGCACATGGGGTCATGAACTATTTTTTTCCTATTGAAATACAGACACAGAGAAAACAGAACATTTACTGAGAGAAAAAAATTTATACTTGGTTTTCAAATAAAGCAAAACAGAAAATCAGATTCAAATGAAGAGATACAGCTATACTGTGTTAAGAACAATGGTAAGATGGGAAATGAAGGACATACAGGTGGGCTGGAGAAAAAATATGCAGATTTCTGAAAAAGAGGACATGAAGCAAGATAGTGGTTTGGGAGAGAGAAGATGGCAGCTCAAGGGGTGGTGTGGAGCTACATAGAGATTCTCACCAGAAAAATTCATTTCGTTAATACGTAAGTACACCAACACATTTTAGCTGGAATACAGAGTTCTCAACATTGATTATTCAGAATCAAAGACTCAAGCTGGGAAGCAGAAGTATGCCTGCTTTACATTTATACCAGAAACATTTATATCAGAAACACAAAGAGCGCCAGGCGCAGTATAATCCCAGCAGCTCAGGAGGCCGAGCAAGGAAGACCACGAGTTCAAAGCCAGCCTCAGCAAAAGCAAGGCACGAAGCAACTCAGCGAGACCCTGTCTCTAGATAAAATACAAAACAGGACTGGGGATGTGGCTCAGTGGTTGAGTGCCCCTGGGTTTAATCCTCAGTACACTCCCTGTCCTGAAAAGAAAAGAAACACAAAGACTTAAGTGCAAGGGTAGACATATAAGCACTGTTGATATAAAAAAAAAAAACCTGGGAGTTAGCCACAGAGAACCATAAAATAATTATGGGATGTCTAGGTGAAGGGATATAAGACAAAATTGTAAAATTTGTAGTTATCTATTCATCCACACATATACATGTATGTTTTAAAATGAAAATATACCTAGATACAATTACAGCATGCTTAAAAATGTGCATGAGTGGGCTGAACACGTAGCTGAGAGGTGAAGTTCTTGACTAACAGGAGTGAGGCTCTGGGTTTCATCCCCAGTAATGAAAAAAAATTATGTGGGGCTGAGGCTATGACTCAGTGGCAGAGCCCTTACCCAGCATGTATGAGGCACTGGGTTGAATTCTTAGCACCACATAAAAATAAACAAAATAAAAGGCATGCTGGCCATCTACAACTACAAAAAATAAACAAATATTAAAAACAAACAAACAAATGTATGTGGCAGAACACAGGAAAAATGTGTAAGAAACATCAAAGTGATTACAGTGCTTTTTTTCTTTATGATTTTATATATTTTCAGGATTTTATCTATGGTAACAATCTAATAATTTTATAATAAAATCACTAGGCCCTGTGGCACTTGCCTGTCTAAAGGCTAATTAGATAATTAGATTAATTAGGATAATTACCAAATTTGAAGAGAGCTTGGGCAAACACAGTGAGACCCTGTCTCAAAATAAAAAGAAAGAAAGGCTGGGGGAATAGCTCAGTGGTAGAGTGCCTCTAGGTTCCATCCCTAGTACTGGAAAAAATAAAATAAAATAAAGCCATTTTAAATTAAAATCTTGTCACAGGTAGAAATAAACAGAAACAACTCACTCTTTTCCTTTTATCTGGGAGGTCCATGGGGAAATACTGCATAGAGAGGGAATCTGCAACCAAACCCCCTGGTTGCAAACCCTACCTACACACATGGATGACAGCCATGTAGAAGCACGCAGAAGTTGTTAGGGAACAACGCAGGAAACAGAATACTGATGCACACAAGGACAGTGAGCAGTGCAAGCATCAAGTCTCCTAAGACTCTCCCTCTCAGGAAAAACAGCTCCTCAAGATATGGCTCTAGTGACACCATCTTTCTCTTCTGGGTTCTGTACCAATGCCTAGCATGACCCCAGACCTCAAGAACACAGCCTTGCCTCTTGCCACGCTGTGGCTGTGAAGTAGAGATCTTCTGTAGACTCTGGTGGCCACCAGCCTTGCTCCTCTCATGAATGACTTCCACTCTTCACACAAAGCTCATTCTATGTGTAATTCCCTCTGGCCCCCCATTCCACCTGCTCCTACCAGAAGTAAGCACACATCTCTTCCAATTTATAGGACACTGATTATTTTGAGCCACAGGAGGGCAGAGGAGACAGGGGTCCTGGAGATTTCTTTGCTGGTATAATTTGAGAGCTCCATAAGTGTGTTCATGAAGGACCCAGATTATGGCACCTCTATCTTTTCAAAGGACAAACAGTTCTTTAACAGGTAAGTTGTCAGGAAAAAGAGGGTGCTGCTACAGATTAAGACTTTCAAAAGACAAAGGGGGAAAAGGATAGAATGGGAGTTACTGTTTGGTGGTTACAGAGTTTCTGTTTGAGGTGATGAGACAAAGTTTTGGAAATATGTAGCAGTGATGGCTATAAATAAATGCTAAATAACCATACACTTAAAATGGCTAAATTGGGAGATTTTATATCAGATATATTTTATCAAATTTAAATTAAAAACTATGCAATATGCTAACAGCTACTGAATTGTATATTTTAATTGGTAAATTGCACAATATGCACTTGTCTCAATAGAGCTATTCACATAAAAGAAAAATAACTTTCTTAAACTATATCAAATTCATTTGGATGAGGACACCTTTGGGTAGACAATTCATGTTTAAAAACAAAACAAAAAGCCAGGTGAGATTAAGAAAGGAAAAACACACTTGGCTATCAAGAGGAGAATGGCTACAGTGACAATTCTGGGCAAAGAAACTGATGTGGAGGGGCAGACATGGGTGCTGCTCTAGACACTTGCCTTTCAGCAGTTAATTAAACTCAATGTGTGCTTTGCGCAGTCCTCCCTATCTTTTCAAAGAAGTCAAACAGGCCCGGAGATGAAGTGCTAGTATTAAAATACAACTGCTGTATTTTGCTGCTTAGGGAGTATTGTTTACATATAATTTGTGTCAAGAATTTTTATGAGTTGTTAAAATCTGTTTGTTCACTGGAAACTCAAGTCTATATCCTTCTCAGATCCAACAGTGGAGTCCCCATGGGACGTCAAAGGACTGCTTTATCACCATCACCATGCCTCATCTGCTCCTGGAACTCAGAGATTGTAGCAAGAACCTCAGAATTAACATTTAAGACTATAAGACACTGCTGCTCTTTAGAGTCTATCCATTTTATTCCTGATGAGAAATAAAAAATCTAGAACATGGGCACAGGGGAAAAAAAAAACAAGAGCTTTATAATGCCTTTCAAGTTTCTGTCACCATCCCATAGTATGATGACAAGCCCATCAAACCTGCTGGTTCACAGTAGCAGGATGGATAGCTTCAGGTGAATGTCTACCTCTTGGCTTAGAAGACAATGAGTTCTTCACTTCAACCTCAGCTTCCAAAAAGTTCCCAGCTCCTTTTCTTTTCTTCTTCTTTTTTTTTTTCCTTCACTATTGGGGATCCAACCCAGGGCCTCACACATACTCTCAACTCCTTTTTCTTCTGTGACACTCACAATTAGTGTATTAAAATCTTTTAAACAGTGGACACAGGAGCAGGAGTTGGTGGGTGGACTGTGTTTCCTGTCCGGGGGCCTTGCAGGAGGGGCTCTGAGAGCCATGGCACCCACTGGACCACCAGCATGCCTCCCTATACAAGGGCCTCAGAGGCTGCACTAAGCAACTTCATTTACAAAGAACCCCCCCCTGGGTGTGATCCCCAAATGGACATACAGTCAAACACCTGCACAGACAGTTTGGGGAAGCCCAGGGATCCCGGCCATGGCATGAACATGTGTCTCTGTGCCCTGTGGACAGGAGTGCTGTGTCTGAGCCTCTGTGCTAAAGGCTTCTCCCCTGTAGTTAGGGGATAATGATCTCTGCCTCCTTGGGCTTGTGCAGAATAGATTTATTAATAAACATGAGGTACTGAGAGCACTGCTCACCACACCGCCAATGCTATGGAAAAACAAAAACAAACAAAACACACACACAAAAAAAACAGTGGACACAGAGGGAAAGAGTAGCTGGGAAGCAGGCTGTGGCTGAATGCTGGAAGAGTTAGGCACACCTGCGAGTGCCACGCCATGCCTGCACAACACCTTTCCATCAATCCCTCTAACCTCCCTTTTTTTTGTTTTAAACGATATTAATCTCACTTAAATATCATTTATTTAAAATAGTATTTTTCTCTCCTTTTTCAAATTGAAGGCTGCAAAAAATAAAAGCAGTGCTTTCTTAGGTGAACTGTTCTTATCTTTCACATTGCAAAACCTCAGCAGGCACAAGCCACACCTATCCTACTTCATACAAAACAGTCCTCCCGTTTAATCAAATAAAACTACTGGACATGACATTGGTTTTAGAAAAGTGCTGGATGTAGGAAAGCCAGGTATGCTGGAGTTACTTTAAGTAAAAAGGTTGCTCCAACTAGGGCATCTTTGCTTCCTCAAGGAAAAACTGCAGATAAACCCAAAAGAAAACAAGATGATGATCAGGAAGATAACCAAGAAGGTCAAGCAGTCCTCCAGGTCCCTGACCTTGTACACCGAGCAGTCACCAGCAATGGAGTTGGCAGAATATGGGGTGACCTATCAATTCTAAATGCTGAAGACCCTGGGGTGATGAGGAAGGATAGAGCAGTGGCCCAGGGAATGGCAAGGAAGACACCTGACTGGACCTCCAGGTTGTAAGTGGAACTGCTCCTGTAGCAAGGACTTGTGGTCCAAGACCACTCAGACTTGCTGACCCAACAGGGATGGCAGTGGCCTAGTGGGCTCAGCCCTGTGAAGTGCACCACCAAACTGTTTTTGAGGCTGTTCTTTGTCTAGAAATGAGGTTGTAAAATGGGGGACAGTTAAGGGCCAGCCCTCAAATAAAATTTGGGAACATATGCAATGAACACTACATCAATACCTGGGTTTTAAGTTTTTTTTTTTTTTTTTTTTTTAAAGCAGACTGGTAGGTAAATCAGAGTGATAATTTATTACAAGCAGCTCCTCCTGCTTTTTTTGGTGGCACTAGGTATTGAACCCAGGGCCTGGCACATACTAGGCAAGCACTCTACTACAATAAATACATATATCCCCAGCCCCCTGTTTAGTTATATATTGAGACAGAGTCTCCCTAAGTTATCAAGAATGACCTCAAACTTGCAATCCTCTTGCCTCAGCCTGTTGAACTGGAATGACTAACATGTGCCACTATACCCAGGTTGTGGTTCCCCTTCCTTGCCAATCTATTCAAACTACATTTTGGTATAGCCAAACAAAAATGGCTATTGTTAGGTGTATCTAGAATATGCAGTTAACAGGTAGGAAAAACAAAATCATACACTGGGGACTAAGGTAGCTCTCACATAACTCCACTCTGCTAAGCAACATCAGATGAAAGAGAGGCATGCTTCCTAACCCAACACAGTACCTTCAGGGCAAAGAGAGGCATGCTTCCTAACTCAACACAGTACCTTCAGGGCAACGCACACCCAGCCCCCAGCCCCCTCACTTGCTCCAATTCATGCCCCACAAATGCCCACAAGTTGAGTTCTGCACTATTATGTTTATGTTGACATGAGGAAGCCACCTGGATATTCCATATCAGGAAGATGAATCCAGGAGACAAGCAGAGATGCAGAGCTGGAGCATGGAGGGCACATTTCCAAGAGATGGTAACATATGCCTAATGCTCAAGACAGCCTGCATGCTCACACCTGGGCCCTGCCTCCTTCTCCGACCTCCCCTGCACATCCCTAAACCACAGAAGAACCACAGCATTCCTGCCAGATAGAGTGAGTCCTGCCAAGGGAAAGCATCTATTACTGTAGCTTTCCTATATTTATGAGGAGTTTGTAGTGTTAATTCTGAGTGGCATTTATATTGGTTTATTACTTAAAAATTTAATTTTATTACTCCTTAGGTTTTGAGTTTTCTGCCCAAACTGTCTTTTTCCCTAGGCCCTGTGATATTTTTTCTGCAAGAAGGTCCAAGCACACATAGATGAAGTGGTCTCTAAGCGCACACACACACACCATATCACAGGAAAACTGTACTGTCACACCACAGGATGTACACAGATTAAGAACAAGTACCTGATCTGTGACACCAATGCTGGTAAGTTGCTCTGGAGAAGTGGCTCCGAAAAGACCAGATTTTCAAACAGGTGTTTATTATGCAGTTCCCAGGTCACCTGGAATTTTTTCAAGTGTTCATTTTCCTAGTTAATAAAAAAAGTAAAAAAAAAAAAAAAATAATAATAATAATAATAATAATTAAACCCACACGTACCCCCAACCCCCCACACACACACAAAAAGGAGGCAGTGAAATGATGAAGACTTGAAATCTCCAAGAAGGATTTCCTTCCCACCCCACAAATCCTCTACACAGGTCCAGAACATTCTGCTTGTGAGGAGTCACTTCTCCCTGTGAGTCCCAAAGCACACACTGAATTACTGAGTCAGATCTCCAATTTTAGTGACATGAGTCTCCATCTCATTTCCCTTCTAAATAAACTCACACACATAAAAAGGGCAGCAGGTGCACACACAGATGAAAAAAAGACAGAGGAAGAAAACATACTTGGTTGACATTTCTTACAATTAATTAGGCTTTCAAAGGTGTCAGAAGCTCTACATTTCAAATAGTGTTAATGAATATAAATCCTTTGATGTCAAAAGACAATCATTTTCTTGCCTATCTGAGAAAGCACTCATTCTGATGGATGCAAATAATTTCTTTTCTAGTGATACTGTGGCAAAGAGAAGGTTTTTCGCTTTCCTAATTAGCGTAAGCAAAATCATTAACTGCTTTAGACAATGCTCTCAAACACTGGGCCACACTGGCTACCACCTCATTCTGCAGCAGTGCTTCTTGTCTCCACTGATACTCACAATGATCTTCCAGCTGTCACCTCTGTCCTCAGTCTAATTCCTAGGAACCTCTCAGTGATAGCTATACCTCCTCCCTGTATCCTTTTACTTTTGGTATCAGGCATTGAATCCAGGGGCATTTAACCACTAAGCCACATCCTCAGCCGCCTCCCCCCTTTTGTAAAATATATATATATTTTTAAGATGTACATGGGACACAATACCTTTGTTTTATTTGATAATTCTCATGTGGTGCCAGAGTTCAAACCCAGTGCCTCATGCATGCTAGGCAAGTGCTCTACCACTAAGCCACAACCCAGCCCCACCCAGCCCTTTTTTATATTTAATTTAGAGTCAGGGTCTCCCTGAGTTGCTTAGGGCCTCACTAAGTTGCAGAGGCTGGCTTTGAACTCATGTTCCTCCTATCTCAGCCTCCCAAGCTGCTGGGAATACAGGCATGTGCCACCATACCTAGCTCCCTGTATCCTTAAGCTCTCTATATGTCCCAATTCTTTTTTCCTTTGAGCTACATCCTGTAGAATTCCTTTACCTCTTTCCAATCCACAAATTCCCTTTTCAGCTTCTTAGTTTGTTTAATCTATCCATTAAACTTTTTTTAATTATGCCTTTTTATTTTTAGTTTTGTTTCCCCCCAACCCCAAATCTGGATGATCCTTCTTTATTTTATTTTTTAAAATATTTTTTTAGTTATACATGGACACGATATCTTTATTTTATTTATTTATTTTTATGTGGTGCTGAGGATCGATCACAGGGTCTCTCATGTGCAACGCAAGCACTCTACCACTGAGCCACAACCCCAGCTCATGGATGATCCTTCTTTAGAGCCTTAATTCAAAATTTCAAATGTTTAGGGCTGGGGTTGTGGCTCTCTGGTAGAGTGCTCATCTAGCGCGTGTGAAGCCCTGGGGTTCAATCCTCAGCGCCATATAAAAATAAATAAATAAAACAAAGGTATTGCATCCAAGTACAACTAAAAACCAAATATTTTAAAAAAATTTTCAAATGTTTTTATATCTGTACAGTAAACAGTTATATTCTTTGAAATGTAAACATCTTTGGTATATAATCCTGCTTGCTGTTTCTGCTGGCTCTCAGTTGTGCTATCTTGAACCATGTGTTTTATGTTTTTTTTTTTTAAACTATGAGCCGCTTCAGTATCACCATACTACCCCCTACAAAAACCATAAAAGAGAAAGAAGAATAAAAAGAAATTTATGAGCTGCTTATAATGGAAATCTCCAAGAAGGAGATTTTGAGAGCATTGTCTAAAGCAGTACAGTATAAAAGAATGCTATGCCAATTCTTTGAGGTGGGCCCAGAAGGCCAAGCCTCTAGAGATACATGCTGCTTGACTTTGCCAAAAGCCTTGGACCTCTGCAGCCTAACTTCCAGGCTTGAGCTACCTGCACCACACCAACAGCAGGGGCTTATCCTGCTAACCTAAATGTGTAATGGTTTTTAGTTAAAAATTCTCTGGGAGATGGTACTTCTCTGTCATATCCACTCCAAGGTCATGATGGAAACATTCTTGCATCCCTTCCAGTCCCTGGAGTTTGTCCTTCACCCTCTCACTGAGGTTGTAATGATGGAAAGCCTGCCCTTATTATTATTATTAGCCAATCCCATCCTGGGCAAGACTGATGCTGTATCTTTCTCAGGATGAAAGGAAAACCATAGAGCAAATGTTGACATCTAAGCACATGTATTTCTTAGGAATCCAGGTTTCAACTGATTTTTTTTTTTTTTACCACTACGACTTCTCTTGACATCTCATGACATCTTAGTCCTATGTCTTTAAAAAAATTTATCATATTTTCTATTAACCACTAAGTGCACCTGTTTCCCTTGGGAGGAATGGTTCAGGGTATACTATATGCTGTATCTCATATATAGAGACAAAATAAAATAGAGCACTGGTTCAAATTAATTTTTGTTGGTTTCATACAACACTGTTCTACTCTGACTACCCAAGGAAGGCCAGGATGCTGGCAGCACTTTCTGGAGAGCATGCTCTCTCAGAGAGTCTGCACCAGGCCTAGGCAAGAAGGACAGTATCTTAACCTGTGCCAACATTCTCTCAGAAGATAGGGGAAGGTGCAAGGTGCTCCTCAGAGGCGCCAGGTCTGGAACTGAACCTCTGAAGGACAAGCAGGCTCTCTAAGTGGAGGTGGGAGAAGCAGGCAGGCTGTCCTTGGAGCCCTTAGGTCTGGAGGTAGGATTACTGTGCCCCTCCTGTCATATTCACCTGGCCAGCTCCAGTGACAACAGACGCCTCCTCCAGGCAGTCCTTACAAGTATAGCAGTGGTATGATGCAGGGGAGCTGAGAGAGGTCTACAACCCCGGCAGTGACTTACCAAGTGTTGTGTAGGTGAGTTTTTCTGGCAAGGTTCATCAATTTTAGAATCAGATAAAGACTGCTTAAAATCTTGAGAACCAATGATTTCAGAATGTAGTTTCACCACTAAGCAGCACCAAAACTAGCTTGCTGAAGTATCACTTAATCATCAAAGTGCTGAGGAAAGACACTCCAGAATGACCAGTGAGTGGCTGAAGCTGCCATGGCTGGTCACTGGGGAGCCCGGTCTCCTTCGAGCCACAGCAACCACATTTCCACTTCATGCCTCCTTCAATTCAGTGGCATTTATTTTCTGAGATGGTCACTTGTGCCCTTTGCTAGGGCTGTATGGTCCCTGCAGGAGTGGGCATCTTACTCAAGTTCCTAAGCCTGTCATTGCTGGGTGCTCGGCTGAGGGCAATGTATGTGTGTGTGGAAAAATGGAAGTTCTCGTTGCACACAGGCTGCTCTCTATAACCCTCACACCCTCAAGTACACCCATCAAACACAGCACTAGCTGTTGACAGTCACAACAGCATTAACAACCCAGAATACTAAAGACTCCCCTTCATCTCCCTGTTAATGCCCAGCTGCTCCTCATGCAGCATATATCCCCATGACTTGCTTCTTTGCCTCAGGTCTCCCCAAATAGTACTTCCATGCTTTGTCACCAGGACACCAATCCACTCAATGCTTCTATTTAGTGGCAAAGTCAGAGGACTAACCCTAACACTAATCCTAGCCTTTGCTGACCTTGTGGAGTGGCCTGTGGCAGTCAGCCCCTCAGCCTCAGGCACCTCTTTTCACCACATACTTCTGCTCTTTAGTTCACCTTCTCAGCAACCTCACAGAAAAAGGGGTGACATCTCTTACCAGAGTGCTGAGGAAAGTGCTGATGGAGCGTGCGGCCTGGCAGAGAGCGCCATACTCCTCGAGGAGAAGCGAAATGAAGTGGTGTGCCTGAGGTGGGCCCTGCAGGCCAGATGGCGCCTTTGTCTTTGCTGCGGCTGACAACTGCCGAAGCAGGCGGACCTTCATCTCTAGCACATACTCCCGGGCTTGCTGCTCCAACCGTTGGTATAGCTGGTAGGGGTCCCGCTCACAGAGCCTGCACAGAGAGAGTCACACTTAGCCCTCACCTGTCCACACCAGACAAGGATGGAACAGTCTTCATATCAATGAGCATCTTTTCTAAAGCCTTTCCATAGGTATCTACCTGTCAACCGCAGTGGTCTTCTTCCTCACCAGGACCTATGAAAGGCATCATCACATGCCTTAACAGATGAAGAACCCAGATACAATGTTGCCAAAGAACAAACAGAAAAACTGACATTTCCTTAGCACTGTTTATGCACTTGTACTCACTTGGCCAACCCACACATAGGAGCTCTGCTTCATGCCCCACTGTCCAGACCATCAAAGCTACCCAAGCTGGGGACAGTGTCTGAACTCCAACAACCAGCAGATGACAGGGCGCATGACCTGCTTCAGAGCTGGCTCCAGAAATAAATTCAACTTGCGATTATTAACAAAAGGTGGGACTAAGGCACCTAAACCCAACGAGGGTGATACCAGGCTACAGGACTGGGCATTTTCCTTCCTTCTAGGAACTCAGGGTATAAGCAAAATGTTTGCTATTTTTAAAATCAGAGGAAAATTTAGAGAGTTTATCCTATTTTAAAATTATCCCAACAAAAAAGCAACAGCCAAGTATGGTGGCACAAGCCTGTAATCCCAGTGAGGCAGGAAGACCACAAGTTTAAGGTCAGCCTCAACAATTTAGTGAGACTTTGTCTTAAGAATTTTTAAATACTTAAAGAAAAAGCGGGCAGGCTGGGGTATAGCTCCATAATAGTCCACAAGACCCTGCAATCAACATCTACCCCTGGGGGAGAAAGGGGAGATAAACCAATACATATATATGAAATACTGTAAGTTAAGAGCAGGGGAAAATCCATGGCCACCACTAGCCACAACAGCAATGAACACTGTCATGAATCTCCTTTCAAACATGGAGATCACCCACTTTTAAGACTTGTTTACAGTGTCTGGCATCACTGTGATTAAGATGCCACTTCTATTAACTGTGCACTTTTGAGATGCCTCTAGATGGAAGCCTGGGACCACTGTTGCAAGAATCAAACTGACTGTCGGTAATATGTCAAAGGAGAAACCAGCTGAGCTCAGCACCTATTAGAAATGAGTTGTAAAATGTATTCAGCAGTAGATTCTTTCACCTTTTAGCACATTATGTCAAAAGAGAACATTATAAGATGTCACCTGTTCCATTTTGAAATTGCCATACTACCTAGTTTGTAAAAGACAAGAGACAAGGAAAGCCTTGTATAAAATGTGGTTAAAGTTGCACAAATTCAAAGGACTCCCACTATTGTTGGTATATTTCAAACAGACCAATTAATTTTTGTAGCATGATAATTCTAATTTAAATTATGAGCATAAGAAACTATCCCCCTGAAACAGAATGTATTTCATTTATTAAAGCAAAGCCACATAAGATTCAAATGACACAGGAACAACTAAACTCACAAGCAGACTGGATACCTCCTTAGTTCTCCCAGCATGGTCAGATTAGATGCACTTTATTTCCTCGTCCATTTCTGCATTTTTAAAAATTTAAGGAAATAACCATGTGGTACTTTTTGCAAACAGGTTTCTTAAAATTTATGTGAAAAAGAGGCAGAATATGAATATGTGAAGACGCTATAGTCCATTCATTCATCCATTCATACATACACCCAACAAACTGTAGTATACTGTGTGCAGGATGCTACTCTAAAGTATCAAAGATACAGCATGAATAATCTGTGAAGACACGCATCTGACATAAAGGTTCCATATTTTTTCCTAATACTCACTAGGAAACCTGACTTCTAAAAAAGGCACACACCTCCCGAACCGTCTCACATGATACCAGTGGCTCAGATGTGGAACCCTGAACACACGTCAGCATGACCATCACCACTCACTAACCCTGCTTCCAGGATGAAACCTGCTAGACAGCAAACATGAATCAACAAGAACCCTAAAGCATACATTCAAAATACAAGAGAGAAAGAAATAAAAATGAGAAACGACCCATGAAATGTCTAGCTCAAATGTATTGCTTTTTATTTGGAACATTTCAAAAATCAGGAAAAGATGGCACTTTCAAACAAGAAAGAAGTGATGCCCATCTCACCTTCTGTCAGTTACTGGGCATAAGCTAGGTGCTGAACAGCAGATTCAAGGCCAGCTGAATGAGGCAGCTGCACAGCCAGGACTGGCCCCAGCTACCCTGCACCCACATGCTGCAGGCAATCACCTTCATGAGCTGTTGGCCTCATGGCACCTCAATAAGTGGGAGAGAGCTCAGCCTTTCTCCCTGGATGATAAATGCAAGAGTGCTTATGAAAGTACTTAGCATCTCCCTGGCAGAGCAGGGACTCAGGCAGGCAGGTAGGTATTACTGTCAGTTTTGACACAAAGAATTGACAGAAACATTTCATGTCTCATTAGGAATCAGGAGAATTTGCAACATTTTACCCAGAGGGCTCACTATGATCAGCTGTCTGGTAAAGACCTGACCAGGCAAGCCTAGCTGAGCATTCCTCAGGACCCAAGTGAAAGCTCACCCAGGCACAGAGGCTCCATAGGAAGCTGGGGAGGGCAGGGATTTACAAAGGGACATGACAAGAAGGGGCAACTTGTACCTATCCACGAGCTCCTTCACTCCCTCCTTGTCGGGTACCAGAGACTGGTCCTGGTCGTCTGCCAGTGGTGTCCCCGCCTGGCGGTAGATGCAGCGGACCATGTAGCGCACTTCTGACCAGTAGTTCTGCAGCTGTTGAGGTTCCCGATCCATCTCTGCCGAAATTTCTCTGTGACACAACACAGGAACCAGAAGAGTTGGGGCGTCTACCAGAGCTCTTCCATCAAGGTGCACATCAAGCAGTTCTGATCCCTGTGGAGTCTCTGCACCTTTGCCACCTGCTGGATTCTTCCCTGGGCAGAGCCCTTTCAGATATGCTCCTGGCCTCTCCTCCCCTCCACCAATGCCAGCCTCCCCACCACCACTGCCTGGCTATTGATGCTCCTCTTAAAATCTAGTGACTATGCCCCAACCTTTCTGAGAACTAGTTTCCTAGTGTTAGTCCTTCAAGGACAGGAATTTTTATCTTGTGCTTTCCCTTAAAACCAGGCCACTGTGTTCCTCAGGATCAATGCAAAAGTTTGTCACTATTTATCAAAAAAGCCCACATTCCTGTTCTAGCCCAACACACTCCTGGACAGTGTGGCCCACTCTGCACATACCTGCGCTCACTGCAGGCTTCGCAGGAGCAGGCAGCCTCCGAGGGCGTGGCGCCCAACCCTGTAGAGGGCAGTGTCTGTGTGCCCAGAGCCAGCCTCCCTGTGCCACCAGCCTCAGGCTGAGAGCCCCCCAGTGGTGAGTGAAGAAGAAAATCTTGGCCCTGCTTTAAAAACAGAATATAACAGACCAGTTATGTTCAAACTCTTCAAAAAAATGCCTCCTAGAAAAATTTTAAAACAGACATCAAAAAGAAAATGTCTCAACTGACATTACACAGGCAACTTTTTCTGTCAAGAATTTTATTTGGAACCAGTGTTTTTGTTGTTGTTGTTTACTTTCTTTCTTTTTTTTTTTAAACCTCCTGAAGGTTTATACCATCATCACATGGACACCCAATATATGTATTTTATTCTTTAAAAAAGAAGCATTCTGTTCCCAGTGTCCTCATCGGCATGTGTGACAACCACCCCTGCAGGCATCTCCAGGACCTGGAGCACCCATAGTCAAGTCACCGGAGGTCTTGACAACCAGGTCAAGTCACTTGGTAGAAGTCTGGGCCACTCTGCATACAGCACACAGAGGCCCAGAGCAGCATCCCTCTGTCCCAGGGGCCCATAACCTGCACTGCCTGTTCTGACCAAGGAAAAGGAAGCTCTGAGCAAAGATGACAGATGAGGCCCAGAGCCAGCCTCCCTGTGCCACCAGCCTCAGGCTGAGAGCCCTCCTGTGGTGAGTATGCAGCCCATACTTTTTCCCACGGAGGGAAAGGACTTCACCGACCACCACCATAGAGAACTGAAACACATCCTGACCCCTTCCCCTTCTGCCTTCTAATTACCCACCGAGCTAGCACTGAGAAAGATGCTGCTAAGATGGACCAGGGCACAGAAGAATCCCAATCAGGGCTCACAACTGGGGCAGCCAGTTCCAATGCACCCCAACAGCCTGGGGAGAAGTAGCACAGAGCTCCCAGGCAGACTCCTATAGGGAACCCTTTTGAGTGCAGAGAGCTGCACCCTTCCCTCCTACAGCACAGGGAGCAGCCTTCCCAGAGACTGGATGTCAGCCTAGACTGTGTTTGGTCAGGTTTGTGCACACAGTATTCACATCACCACCCAGCAGAGGAGCAGAAAACTCCTCCAAGAGCCTATTATGTCTCAGGGGTTTGGCACATAGACAGTGATATGAGATTTTTGAAGTGTAAAAGTCTGGAAAGCCTATCCCCTACCCCTACAGCAGGCAGAGGGAGCCAGAACTGTGTGCCAGAGGGGAGAGCAGAAGCTGTGTGGTCATGAAAGACCCCACACAAAATGGGTGCTTCAGGTTGAGGAGGTGCCAACAACAAACCAAGGCATGGGCCTAGGACTCCCAGCCTCCAGACTCTGAGAAACAGATGCCTGTTGCTTATGAACCAGCCTACAGCACTCTGCTGTAACAGACCCAAACACTAGGACAGCGTCTTCCAAGCAAGGACCAGCAACATGTTAGGCTAACAAGCCCCAGTCAGCCAAAGACAGCCACAGACAACCTGGCAGAGGACAAAGACCCCCAACTCCTCCTTCCCAGAGCCCTTTCTCCACCCTAAAGCCAGCATAAGAAAGGCAGAAAGATATTGGACACACACCACTGCCCTCTACCCTGGTGATCTCTGACTTCACTTCCTACAGCTGTGGGAAGAGCTCTGAATTAGTAAGAGTTGGGTTTTTCAGCGAACTGGGCTTGAATACTTGAAAAGGAGACAATTCCAACACTAGAAGGGGCTAGAAGGAAGTGTGGCCTGAGTGATGTCATCATGGGAAGGGAGGACAAGCAGGCAGGACAGCTTAAAGTTGGCAATGGAAAGAGAAGCTATTCCTACAAAACAGCAGGTCAGAGCCTTCAACACACAGGCTTCCTCTTCTCCTCAGGCCATACTAACTGCTCCACCTCAAGCTAACAATCCCAAACCCCCACCTGTTCTTCTTTCCCTATTGCTTCAAGCCCAAGATAGGTCACAGTTACCTCCTGCCTGGAAACGGCAGGGCTCTCTATTGGCTCCTGATATCTACCCTTCCCACTGTGATCTGTTTTCAAGCCCAGCCAGAGTGAGCTCATGTAGTCCCCAGCATAAACCTTGCTGTGTTGTCCTCCAGAATGAACTCCACTTTCTTACCACAGCTTCAAGGCTGCCTAGACAGACCTCTGTGTTTATGCTATTGCACTGTTCCCTTTGCCTGGAGCACCCATCCGCTGATCTCTGCACAGTTTCTAATGGAGTTCTATAAGTCAGACCTCAGCAGAGAGATTCCCTACTCATGGAAGTTGAAAGAGCCAGCTACCAATAGTTCCTTTTGCCTCTCAGCTCCAAACCCACCCTCCTTGCCAAGCTCTGTGTTGAAGGAACCCATTTCTCCACTCACAGCAGACAAAACATGGGCAGAGGGCACTGGAGGGTGACAGACCTCCAATGTTTCTCCTCTTGGTTCTATCATCAGGCAGCTCTGTTCTTGGTGTGAGAGGACTTGGTGACAGGTGCTGTCCAGCAAGTTTCATCATCACCCAGTACCTCAGGGAACTTCTCTTGGCACCCAGTCAGCTGCAACCATGCTCTCCAAGGAGGGGCCTTCTCAAAATTTGTTCTTCCCTGAGTCCTTTCCCTCAGTCCCAAAGCTCATGGTTGCTCCCTAGATCTGCCTTAACTGATCTTTAGGGCTCACTGTACAGGTCTGGGTAGCTGATTCCTGTCTCTTGTTACTTTTACCTTGTGTTAGGATATGTCAGTTTAATTACTGGTGTGATGCTCACCTGCTAGTCAAGCTCTGCTTAACACACCACCTGAACCACCTATTAAAGCTCTTCTATCAAACTGCTGTGTGATGCCCGTGGTGGCACATGCCTATAATCACAGCTACTCAGGAGGCTGAGACAGGAAGATTATTAAGCTCAGCAACTTAACAAGACTCTTTCTCAAAATAAAATTTTAAGGTGCAGGTGGGGCCTGGAGATGTAGCTCAGTAACAGAGTGCTTGCCTAGCATGTACAAGGCCCTGGGTTCAAACCCCAGTACTGCCCCTGAATAAATAAATGTGTGTGTGTGTGTGTGTGTGTGTATAAACGATTTAAAGCAAAAACACATGGTAACGTTTATAATACAGGAGGAAAGTATAAGACTACAAGGGAATCAAAAGAGGTGGAGTTCCAGGTGTCCTATTTTAAGTTCCTCACACTACATGTGAAGTGGCAGGATAGTCTTTGAAAGCAGAGGTTGAAAAGTTGAAAGTAGACGTTGCAAACACTAGAAGCATCTCATGAAAAACTGTGAAAACAAAAAGATATAGATAATAAACCAACAGGAGGTAAAATGAGCCATAAAAAAATATTCAATTAGTCCAAGAGGAAAAAAGGGAGTAAGAGTTGCAAATAACAGAAAGGAAATAGAACAAAGGATATTAGTAGCAATGAAGAGCAAGATGATGGTGATGATAAAAGAATTCAACAAAAAAAGAAGTAACAATGCTGAACCGGTAGATATTCTAATAACAGAACTCAAGATACAAGAAGCAGGAACTAAAAGAACATTCCATTCAGTAACTCAACTAGACAGAAGCATCAGGAAGGATGCAGAGCATAGGGACACCAAGGTGACCTAACTGACACTCACAGAACACTCTAGCAGCAGCAGAACTATTCAAATGCATGTGGAACAAGAACAAGATCAACTATAAAGCAAATATTTTCTGAAACAAAAATTTAAAAATTAAATTATACAAAGTATGATTTCTTATTTAATAATCATTAACAAGAAGCTATCTGGAAAATACCCCCAAATATTTGGAAATTTAAAAACACACGTAAACAATCCATGAGCCAAAGAATGAAACATAAGGGTGATTATAAAATACTCTGAACAGAATAAAAGACAACATATCAAAAATTGTGGACTGCAGCTAAAAGTGGATCTACTAGCAGAAAGAATGAAAAAAATATAGGCCAGGAGTAACACTGATGAAAGAAAAATAGAAAATTGATTAAAACAAAATATGGTTCTTCAAAAAGATCAATAACATTGATAAACCTTTAGTCAGTCTTAACAAGGGAAAAAAAATGAGAGACAAAAGTCAAACAACTTGGGCTAATGTTGTGGCTCAGTGGTAGAGTGCTTGCTTAGCACCTGTGAGGCACTGGTCTCAGTCCTCAGCACCACATAAAAATAAATAAATTAAATAAAGGCATTCTGTCCATCTACAACTAATATATACATATATATAACATATGAGTGTATGGGTATGTATATATAATCTTAACAATGTCAAACAACTGATATAAGGATTAAGGGGGAAGGGATCATTACAGACCACATGGAAATTTTAAAAATAGTAAAGGAATATTCTGAACAATTTCACATCTATACATTTGCACAAAAATGGGCAAATTTCTTTAAAGCTCCCTAACAAAGAAACAGACAACCTCATATAAATCGAACCTCATAGTTCAGAATCTTCCCAATGAGGCAAGCCTTAGGCCAAGGCGGCTCCATTGGTGCATGTTTCAAACACTCAAGGGAGAAATTTTATCAATTCTATACAAACTTTTCCAAAAGAGTAAGGAGGGGTACTACTTCCCAGCTTGTTCTATGACACCAAAGCCACACAAAAATATTATGAAACAAGAAATTCGCAAGTTAACATTCTTCATAAATCAGACAATAATCCTTAACACATTAACAAACACCCAATCCAGTAACCTATAAAAAAGGGAATATATCATGATCATTACCAAGTGTGGATTAGCCATCCTAGAAATACAACGTTTGTCCAACATTTCAAATAATTTATTTTGTTAATAAACTAAGAAAATGAATAACTGTGACCATCTCAAAGGATGCAGAAAGAGAATTTAACAAAAGTCAATATCCATTCATGATGATAACTCTCAGCAAAATAAAACTCAACTCCTCAGTGAAGTCCTACAGCTAATATAGTACTTAATGGTGAAAAGACTAAATGCTTCCCCTAGAATCAGCAATAAAAGAAGGGTGTCCACTCATACCAGTCCTATTAGACCTACTGGAGGTCCTGGAAAATGGAGTAAGATGAGAAAAAATAAAAACATACAGGTTGGAAAGGAAGAAATACATTATCTGTAGATGATGTGATCTACATGGAAAAAAATCCAAGGAAT